GCGTGCTCCGCGGCTTTGCTCCCCGTCTCCCTGGTCTGCTGGTCTCCAGCAGACCAGGGAGACGGGCAGCAAACTCCGTTCGTAACTGCGGATCTGACGTAAGTCGGATCCGCGTAACTCGGGGACTGCCTGTATTATTAAGTTGTTTGGGAGATAAGTAAGTTTTAAAGAAGTGTTTCATCCTGGATCAACGGAAGTCAATAGTAAAGTTACTACTGACTTCACGTCTTGGACCAGGGGTAGCCAATAGTTCAGATTTGGCCCGCGGTCTGCCTATCAGACACTTTTGAACATACCTTGATATATTTTTATTTACTTATTATTATTACTATTGTTGTGGGTATATCATTGTCTCTGGAGTCTGGACCTTGACTATAATGAAATTTGGACTTTGATTAAAAAACTGCATTGCACAATAAGATTATTGGTATGTAACCAGACAGAGAGTGCTCCAAGCTTAAGGTGTAGCACAGAGCATATGTCTTTACACTAAGATTAAAACTATCCTGTTAACCCTGAATTAATTCCTCCATGTGCAACAAGATTAACTTAGCTCATTTGAAAAAGTTGTTCTATGATTAGGATAATTATAAACTTCTAGGAAATTACTGTGTAACACCACGAGGTTGAGCAGAGTCCAGTATTACATAAGTAAGCGAGCAGTGCAGATGTTCTTAGTCCACAGAAATTATAAAAGCAATCTTATGATTAGCAGCAAATTTATCATATACCACTTTTTCCTTCCAGTAAAGTAGTAAAATTACTAAGAATAAACATCATATTGCTGAGTTATTTAACCACCATTCAGATTGCAAAATTGATTGTTTACATTATTTCTTGTAATACTATTCATAAAGACACTACTTTACCATGCAGGAAAGTAATCTGCGTAAGAAATACCTTAAATTGAATATCATAAGAGGAAGCCAAAACTTTAGTCCTCCACTAGGATTTTCTTTTTATATATTGTATACAGAAGTTGTCCAATTATTTCTTCAGTACAGGCAGTCCCCGGGTTACGTACAAGATAGGGACTGTAGGTTTGTTCTTAAGTTGAATTTGTATGTAAGTCGGAACTGGCGTCCAGATTCAGACGCTGCTGAAACTGACCAGCGCTGACTACAGGAAGCCCAAGGCAGAGTTGTTCTGCCCTGGGCTTCCTGGAATCAGCCGCTGATCAGTTTCAACAGCGGCTGAATCTGGATGCCTGGGACAGAGCAGCTGGGGCACTGCTGGTAGGTCCCCGCAGCGTTGCACCTCAGCGCTGCGGGGACCAACCCGGCAGCACCCCAGCTGCTCTACCCCAGGCACCCCCAAGTCAGCCGCTGCTGAAACTGATCAGCGGATGATTCCAGGAAGCCCGGGGCAGAGCAACTCTGCCTCGGGCTTCCTGTAGTCAGCGCTGGTCAGTTTCAGCAGCAGCTGACTTGGGGACGCCTGGGGCAGAGCAGTTGCGGTGCTGCCAGGTTGGTCCAGTAGCACCCCTCCTCAGCGCTATTGGACCAACCGAGCGGCACCCCAGCTGCTCTGCCCCAGGCGTCCTGATTCAGCTGCTGCAGATGCATCTGGGCGGTCCCGCTGCCCGAGTCCTCCGAGGCTTTGCTCCGCGTCTCCCTGGTCTGCTGGGGGGCAGCTTTTCTCGCCTCAGAGGACGCGGGCGGCGAGAAAAGACCTGTTCGTAACTACGGATCTGATGTAAGTCGGATCCACGTAAGTCGGGGACTGCCTGTACAGTAAAATTAGCCATTTATGTGTAATACTGTAAGAATGTTTAATACGGCAGTAGTGAATGAAAATGTATCTTACTTCTGATAACTCTAATCATATGTATGTGGACAGTGCAGTATTGTTTAATCATGTATAACTTGGTACGTTAGTTAACGTATGCACTACATCATGACTTGATCAAATTCCAGACAGAGTTGTTGCATTAACAAAAAATGAAAATAAGTAAAACACAAGTCAGTAAGGGGTTAAGATGAAAAGTTACAGACTGTCCAAATGGACAGAAAGTGAAGAAAAACAGAAAGAAAAAAGGCAAAGTACATAGTACCATAAGGTACCCCAGTACCCACACAGGAGAATGCACTTTCAAAACTCTCAGTAACAAATGCATCAGGGCAAAAATGTAAATAAAGCCACACTCATGGCTAAACTTCTCCTGTTAGCCCTGGTCTACACTAGGGAGTTATTTTAAAATAGTAAGTGGAGTGTCCATACTACCAAGCCTGTTATATCGAAATAACAGGCTGGTTATTTCAAAATCTGTACTCCTGCTTTCCTTGGGGAAATAACTCCCAAAATATCTATTTTGAAGTAAGCTTATTATTTCAAATTTAGTACATTCAAAACAATTTTGAAGTGTAGACATCCCCTTAAAGATTTTGTTTTCCAGTCTTTTGAGACTAAATCGGCTATTCTGCTGGTGGTCCACCTTAAAGTCTTTACAAAGTAAAAAGACACTACTGTATAAAAAAGTAAAGAAAAAGAGTGAGTTATTTGTTCATAACTTCCTTCATAGCACTGCCAACCTTTCTCTCATCTGAAGGAAGAATGCTATTTATATAGTCCCCTCAAAATCCAGTAAGATTTGCCCTCTTGAGAGCTCATATCACAGCTGCTCAGTGAACGACATTTCCCAAGAATCACATCTGCTGGATCTCAGGGAGAAACTGGCTGAGATGACCTTGTCCATAACCACTAAGGGAAAAGGAGTTGCAGCCCACTCTCACCCGCATATACACACACACTCCCATAGAACCTCAGTCTTGGGCCCTAAAAAACATTCAGCAGTGTGGACTGTTTCCCCTCAGACATTCTCAGCGATCATGTCCCTGTGCACCACAGCAATTGTTCCTGGCACGGGGTGTGCTAGCCAAAAACGTTTTCTCTACAAACCTTAAAGTGTAGATGTACCTGTTACCATGGGTTGTGATACAAAGAATGAATAAAAAACTGATGCATCAAATATTTTAATTGTAACTGAAGTAACTTCTCTTAAAAGGAATCTTTTCAAAACTTCCTCAGTCATTGTATGTAAAATACACAATCTTAGAGATTACACTCAAAAACAAAGTTCATTTCAACTCCTGTCCTTCATTCTGATCAGGATTTTGAAACAAATGTAATAGGGAGGTTCTGCCCACAGAAGAAATTTCAGATTTTATAAAAAGGATCCCTGAAATACTGGAATAGGATTTTGGGGCATTTAGTTTTCACTACACTATGCATTCAGCTACAGAGCAAGTGTTTCGATAAAAACTGGCAGTTCTTCATAGGAATGAGTTCTTGTTTATTAATTCCTATGTCTAAATATCTGGTGAAAAGTCTGCATTACTAGGTAAAAAGGACTATGTCTTGAGGATTAGTTCGTATCTCACAAAATTAACAGAGCTAAACCCTGAGGCTTAACTCTGATCCTCTATTAGCACATGGAGAGTGCATGTGCATTGCTCTTATAAGCTTTAATGGTAGCTTTATTTCCTAGTGCCCACGAGTGCGGTAGCTGTCTTCTCCAAAGCATCTTTCTGTGTGAACCCTTTGTGCACTTATTGAAGAATAACATGTCCAAAAATCAATTACTCATTGATTTTTCAAATGCTATGTTCTACTAAAAGAGCAAGCTCTTGCCATCTCTCTCTATAGATTTGTTAGTCTTGCTTTTTATCCTCATATAATCCTTGTACTTCATGGTGATGTAGAGACCCTATAATGTATTATCTCAGATTTATATCTACAAGATAGAATTATGACATTATACTAGCCCAAATGCAGGACTTGTTATTATTAGAAGTAAAACCTATTGTAAGTACTGGTGCTGCCAAATAAAAGGAATTTTCAAAAGTGCTTAAAGAAGTTTCCAAATTTCACTGAAATGCAGTAAAACCTGGGATTACTGCAAAAAGGAAACTTCCACACTGCTTGTTTTTGCACAAAGATCCCTTGCGCAAAAATGGCTCAAATAGATTATGCAAATGAAGCATGACAAAAATGCTAATCAGTGCTTCATTTGCATACTCCCTGTCTGCAAAAGCCGGCAGTGTAGACATAGCCTCAGTGACCTCAGAAAAGTCCCAGCCTTAGCATTCAGGTGTAAGTTATTTTTCTGCAAAGAAACAAGTTACAGACAACATCAGCATGGAGGTCCAAGTTAATTTAATATCAGCCCTGCTTTAGTCCAGGATATAATCAGGATGCAAGTACAGAAAGTTGATATTGCTTAATCATTTGTTGCACCAATTTTGTAAATGGACTCCCCATATATGTCTGCATTTGTATTCATGTTTTAGAAATTAGGAGCTCTACGGTATGCGTGGCCTTACAACAAATTTACTCCAGTTCTTCCTCTCCACACAAACTTAAGAAATCATAAGATCTGGCCCTGCCCTACACATTATAAAGGCCATAAAAATGATCAAAAGGGCTCTTTTCCCCATCCCACACTTTGGATGTCCTATGAAATGCACACACTTACTTTTGTTGAGTTCTTTCAGAGAGTCTTGAAGCCTCAGCAGCTGCTTTCCTTGTTTCAAACTCTTCCCTTTTCAGAACCTCACCACTTCCCCGGAATCCCAGCTCCACCAGCTGGCGAGCCATCTCCTCATTCTGAAGGAGGAAGGAAGAGTCAGCTGCTTTTCAGAAAATAATACATTTAACCACCAACAAAAAAACTCTAGGAAAAAAAGTGGTTTTACTCCTAAAATTAAAGGTTAAGAAGCAAAGAATAAGCTAGTTAGTTATCATTTCAGGTTAGCATCCATTCCTTCTATCAGCGATTTTTCATTTCATTCCCTTAGGTGTACTCCATCCTCATTGCGACTACATGATAGCACCATGAAGCAGAATAGGAAATAAATGCTCTTGGTGGATAAATAAAGATTTCTAGTTGCATCTAATCAATTTCTACAGTTAAAGAGCTACTGATGCCTCACTGAAAGCTTTGGGGAAAGACATTCTATTTGGAGAAAACTCTGTTTACACATCATACCTTGAGCTGTTTTTATTGCAATTATTCCTGCTATTAAAGTATCATCTCTAAAGCGGTTGGTCAGGGGGCTCTGGGAAATGTCAAGGAGTTCAGACCCTGAAATGCCCATATTTTTAGGGGGCTAGGTAGTTCTTCAGCCACTAGCAGGGGAAAAGGCAAATTCAGGGGGTATTTCAGAGTTTCTATGCAGTACCCTGGACTCCATCTTCCACCATAACAACAAAACACTGCATAGCTGGCTACCCAGAATTTTAGTTGGACTTTGTAGCTGTATAAAGAAGAGGTGAGCTACAGATCTGATCATATGCAGTTTGGGGGCAATTTACATTCAGAAAGGGGATTATGCAAGACCTCTGGCTGTTTCCTGGCTCTTTCATCTCCATTTCTCATTTCCCAGGACTATGGTGCCAATATAGAAGGTACCCATAAAATTGAGGCTAAGTGTTAGAATGGATCACACCAGCTGTTCTGCCACTGCAGGTGTGTCTCCTAATTTGGTGCATTTTGCTGCTCCCTTTTCTGCAGAGCTTGCAAGGCCATAAGCTGTGAGAAAATGAAAGCCTATATGAACTGAGTGTACAGTCCTTACACAGACAAAACTTCATTTAAGGCTGTAGGTTAGACCCAACGAACACATACTTTTGTAAAGCACAACAGTTACCAACCCACATTCTGCTTCAGTGTGTGTGCCCTCCTTTCTTATAGTAAGAGCATTTAAACATACAAAAGTAAACTAATGCTTCCACCTAGTGGCAAGAGATCATAGCAAACTATCAGCATGCAATTTATATGAAAACTAGAGACACAATAGAGACGATATTTCCCTCTGTTCTGTGATGCCTAGAGGAAGAAATTAAACAGAGGAAGGAAGTAAAAGATGGAATCAACTCCCCCATGGAAGTTAGTACTGCTCCTCACACAGCTTCTGACGGAAAGTAAAACATGGGATCAACTCCCCCATGAAAGTTAGTACTGCTCCTCACACAGCTTCTGAGCTACTGCTTTTTATTCCCTTTGGATGGTGGCAGAAGGGCCCAGCTGTGTGCCAGGAGGCTAATGGTAGCACAGCCAATGAGCAGACCTTCCTGCCCCAGGTAAGAGAGCTTGGGTTACAGAGCACATGTTCTAGTGATCCATTGGGGTGTGATTTTTTTGCAGGGGGAGGGAGGGATTCTTGAGTTGGGTATGTGGGTAAGGCTCTCTCCCTCTCTTCAGTGCTTCTGCTAATCCAGTCCCCTGAGGGAATAACAAATTCTGATTCCCACTGGGGGGTACTGAGTTCCATATTAGTATTTTTAACTTCTGCTGCTTTTTCATGTTACAGTGGAGGGATGACCCACAAAGCACAGAATGGGCATCTATGCAAGCATTAAACATTTGAAGACATAATTAAGGGTCTCAAATACTTCAGACACTACATTTTCATAAAGCACAAGCAAAACACTCTATGTGAAGACAGTAAATAATGTTTTAATATAGAGCCAGCAAGTCCAAAGACATTTTATTACTCTCAAAGACTGAGTCTCTGCTTTCTGAAGCTCTCTAAAAGTTGACAGCTCCATGCTCTGAAATATTAGACTAGAAAGGATCAAGAACGCAATTCAATAATTTGCTACTTGGGCTTTGTGTAATCCATGCTGAGTTTCTACTGGTTGGCCTGCCCTTTTCCAGGATATCATACCCTATTATCATTTCAGGATATCATACCAATATAGGTCAGCATGGGATCAGCACGCCAGCAGCTTAACTGTTCAGTTTTCAGAAAGCAGCCAGGCCACTTTCAGGTTTGTCTCTTTTTTTAAACAGCTAACTCAGAGATTTAATGTGTTCTAGATTAGACATTTAATTTAAGAACCCCCCTCCCCGCACAGGAAAGCAGACCAACCACTTATGAAGCCTTGATGAGTTCAGCAACAGGCAGCTGTTTCAGAGATGGGGCATATCCTTTGAATGAACACCTAATAAACCCTGTCCGGCAAACTGCAAAGAGAAATATCCTGTTTGTCCTCCATCCCATTCACCACTGCTAGCTTTTCAGAGATCAGCAAATGCTGCCAGGTTTTACTCTGATTTCAGAAGCTGAATGACTGTCGGCAGCTCTCTACCAAAAGGAAGTCTGGAAGCAATCAAGATTGAAGGTCTAAATCTCTTTGGCTCTGTCAGACAGTGACTCCCCTTGCAGCATGGACTTGCAGGCCTGCTACCCTCCTACTTTCCCTTGTGCAATGATGCATTCAGGCTTAGGGACTGAGAAACTCCTTTGTGGAGTTTCAGTTATTAACTCCTTTAACTGAGTACAGGTACAACCAACTCCTACGCATCTCCACTGACCCATCAATTCACCCCTTTTAGTGGCCATGGGGCCAATGCCCACCAATATCCCCAAGATGTATTCCCAGGGGGGAAAAGTTCACAATCCTCACTTAAGGAAGCTTCTGGAGCTGGGTTACCCTTCAGGTTAGCTAAAGTCTCAATCAGTTTCTCCCTTTTTACTTATTCCTTTCACCTATCAGCTTGGTGAGGCAAAAGGGCTGCAGATCTCATCATTCTCCAACTCCTGGAATTTCTGAGAGTTTGTCCCTCTAGGAGCACCTCCCTGCAACTAAGCTATTGTAACCTTGTAGTAACTGTCAATGTTTTGAAGGCGGGTGGAGCTAATTACTTACAGTGTCCAAAAGGGGTTTGTTCTCCTTAAAGGGGCCTGTAACAGATAGACTGGGCCTTGACTCACCTTAAAGAAACCAACCAACTACAGAAGCATTATATGGCAACAAACAGATATGTCTGTCTACAGTTGCAAACTGAGATAAATCTGTGCCAGGCCCCTTAGACAATTCCACCCTAAATCTTTCTACATACACACTGGACATGATAAGAACTATTTTTCATTAGTTAGTCTTATTTCCCCTAAGAAATCAGTTTGCTGCTATCTTATACATCAGAAAACTTTGCTGCACAAATTACCCCCAAAGTGTTCTCTCAGTTTGTAATTGCAGGCAGACATCTTATTTGTGGCCATACAATTCTTCTGTAGTTGGATGGTATTACAATACATGGACAGGGTTTCCAGATGGTTAAACCAAAAATACCGAACACCCCACCCCCAAAAAGTAAAAACACCGGGGGGGGGAATTCTGTTGAAAAAAAAAAGGGGGGGGGACCAAAGTTGTTTTAACTGTAATGGTACATAGTTGTTATAATGATACCCACCTCTCATACTGTTGTGATCACATTAAATAAGGTGTTTTTAGCAGCATAGCTTATACCCATACAGTAAGGGGAATAAACCAGACCTGCATAAGGCACCTTTACACCAATATAAAGTGCCTCCTGACTGGGAAAAGTATTTCAGTAAAACACTTCAGCCCTAACCAAAATATTTAACCTAAATAAAAAGAAGTAAAGCATTGAGCTATGTTAATGAGGGCATCTTTCTTTAAACAAAAAAATTAAAACAATTTCTGCTATATTAATGTTCTTACCTAAAGACATGTCTGCTCTACAAACTTTAGCTGGCATAAGCAATGCCAGCAAAAGACTGATGAACTGTACAAAAGCCTCTAAGATAGGTGCAACTTATACTCGCAAAACTGCGCTTCTGTTGGTATGGCTTCCCAGTGGGAGAGATGGGAGGAAGCCATCCCATTGAAAAGTATTTGGGGAGAGAGACAGAAGCAAATGCACAGTCTTTATGATTTAAGCTGCATTAGGGGCTTTTTGCCAATCAGCTGTCAGTTACATCCATGCTAGGAGTGCTTCCAGCAAAGCATGCCTGGTGTGCCTAAGATTCTCTTGTCCTATCCTAAAATGATGGTGAGCTAGCATAGGGTGTGTGTACAAGTTGCTGAAATCTACTTCACCACACTGTCATTTATTCTATCATTTAGACTGACAGCCAACAAAGACTATAATTTTCCATCAACTGCATTGTATTGGGACTACATAGATTTTAGCATTTAATGCTCGATAACATTTATGTGAAAGCACAGCTTGGCTTCCATTATTGCTGGTGTTTTCAGAAAATAACTGCACAGAAGAATGAGAAACAATCAAAAGTAACACAAGTAATTTTCTCACAACAACTTTGGAAAGATTAATAAAAGTACAAAATAAAGAGCTGCATATTTAGGATGTAAAGAGGCTTTAACTCCTTCTGTTTTTTACTGAGCTGGAAGTATTTTGATACTTACCATGCCAACACTAATAAACTTGCATCTCTTTTGTAATAAACAAGAAAAATAGGCATGACTGTGAATGATATGTATCAAATACTGAAAATAATGAGAAATCAAGGATTTCACAAAAAAGCTGCTAATGGCAAACATCTCAAATAGTGAATTCAAGGAAGTCACTGAAACATGACAGGACCACTGCTGACTTGGAATGATGGGTTGTTTTTCCACCAAATAGGTACTTAAAAAGCACTATGGGGCTTGAGCAACAAACCTTATTCACAGGTGCTTAAAAAAGTAAACGCTGAATGACAAATGCTTTGCTGAGATACAAACTGGTGTAAGCAGTTCTCTCTCAGCAGGTGAGGTGACACGCATAGTGGTTAGCTTTGTGAAATACCTTTTGTTAATACAAATTATTCCCTATGTTTTATTACAGTTCTCAG